TTGGGTTCCCTAGATGGTCTATTATCTCTGCGAATATTGATTCCTTTGCTACAAATGTGAATTGCCTGCAATGGGATGCTGATGCCCTCATGCTTCAGGAAGCACGTATTGCAGAATCCAATATGGCGGAGGCCCAACGTAAGGCTGCGCTCTGCAATTTTGGCCTCTTCTGCTCGCAACCTCTTCAGAAGCTGAAAGCGAGCAATGGCACCTTTCGGATTCCTTCAGGAGGGACTGCAACATGTGCTCACAAGGAGCTCACACAGCTTTTTGATGCCAAATTTGACCTTTCGGGTACATGGGCCATTCTGTGTGCGACTACTCGCGTCACCGCCACCTGGCATCAGGTCACCCCGACGGTTAAGGTCCTTGCTTTCAACTTTTATGCAGTGGCCAATGCTGCCTCCGAGCGTGCCAAGTTCGAGAGAAACAATGAACTTCTGGACCAGATCCTGTTGGTGGCTGCTCAGTTTGGAGACGTTCCTGTGCTTATTGCCGGGGACTTCCAAATGGAACCTGGCATGTATCCTGCTGTCCAACTTGCTTTGGATCATTGGGGGTGGGCAGATCCACTGTTACAAACAAATGAAGTTGGGGAGGTATTCCGGCCTCATACCTTTTTCCAGCAAGCTGCAACTGTTGATGGTGAGGGCCAGTCGTCCATTGATGGCATTTTGATGAATCGAACTGCATTGGCCGCCCTAGTCCGCATCGAAGTTCTGGACCATCGTGATCGTCAGCATCGTCCAGTACAAGCTACTTTTGCTTGGGATCGTATTCAGCAAGCTGGCACTATTCTCCAGAAGTTTGCCATGCTTGATGTTTCACAAGTTCCTAAATGTGATGCCTCAGATCCGGTATGCCCATACAATCAATCATGTGAGCAACTCTGGTTGCAATATGAAACAAGATTTCAGGCTGAACCTGCGTCGGACAGCAAATGGGGTCTTTTCAATGAATTTTCCCTGGATGTGCTCTTGCAGCACGGTGCAAAATGGGAAAAAGGCCCTCGTGCCCGAGGCCGTCTTCCCAAATTTCGGAAGACACAGATCGCTACACCACAGGAGCTCTCTGGAAATCCTACTTCGCCTCGACTCCTCTTGCTTCGGGCATGCCTTCGCTCGCTACGTGAGTTGACATATCGATTTGGTCGAGCCTGCACTGGAGAGGCTGATTCTCGAACTTTCTTCTTCGCGCAGAAAAAGCTGCTGCGCCGACTCAAAGAAGCCTGGCTTGTTCCGATGAATATGCACCAGGTATTTGCGTTCGATCTGCCTCATTTGACTGATTTGACCTTACAGGCCATCACCGAGGAGCTCAAGCTGATGAAACAGGCAGCAATCCGGAAGTGGCGGGAAGCGATGAAGAATGCCACTACCTCGCTGGCTATTGGCAAAGTTGTGTATCAGTATCTCAAACGCAAAGGCCGTGTTCTTCCTCAAAATTTGGTGGAGGATGACGATGGCAACATTGTCTATGACCCGCAGACTGCAATGGACACTATTGCTGAGAAATGGGACACCGTTTTCTCTGTCAATGCCAGTCATCAACATGAAATGCAGATTTTGAAGCAGGTTTGGCCCTATATTCACGACAAGGGTCAATCTGTTGCGTTGGGGCCCATCACGGAGACTCAACTCTGGGAGCAAGCTGCACGTCGTAAACCTGATGCAGCTGCTGGCTTGGATGGGTGGAACACCCGAGAGGTACAAGCTCTTCCTCCTACAGCTTTCCGACCGGTTGCTGCCTTGTTCAACGAAATTGAGGCGGGCACTTCAGACTTTCCGACGATTCTTACTCAGGTGAGGATGATCATTTTGAATAAGGATGGCAGTGATGCTCCCCTGTCCAAACGCCTGATCTCGCTGCAGTCTATTTTTACCTTGCTGTACACCGGGCTCCGTTTCCTGCAACTTCAGACTTGGCAGCAACAGGTGATGCCTCCCCAACTCAAAGGAGGCATCAAAGCCAGACAGATGTCCGAAGTACACATGACCTTGCAGCTGGAAATCGACCACGCTCATAGCTTTCAAGGATCCTTTGCAGCACTGAAGCTCGACAAGTCAAAATGCTTCGATCGCTTGATGCCCAAACTATGTGCTGCAATTATGTTGGCGTTGGGCCTCCCTGCTACACTGGTGCGAGGTTTCTTGGGCCTTTATACCCGAATGACCCGATTCCTCTCCTTTAAACAATGGACAAGGGAGAGACCGATTTCCATGCCAAATGGTGTTGTGCAGGGATGTTCTGTCAGCTTGCTCTGCATTAATATACACATTGCTATCTGGGCCTGGATCATGTGCAAGATTGATGGTGTGGCTTTTCGAGCTTTCATAGATGACACATATCTGTGGACTCGTCAATCCACCATTGATGGGCTTGTCGCTGCAGTCCGAGCAACTGAATTGTGGGACTCGCTTTGTGGACAGTTCCTCAACACGAGCAAGTGTGAAATTTTCGCTACGAGCAGTTCTCTCCGCAAGGCTCTTAAGCAGGCTTTCCCCCAAAGTGGTCAACATATTGGGGGCCTTTGTCCAAACTACGAAGAAGAATGTGGGCAGTTTCCCGGTTGCCAAGCTTCAGAATGCCCTCAGAGACTGTGAGTCCATTCGTGCTTTGCCGTGCGACAGCTACAAACGTGCCCAGATCTTGGCAACGAAAGTTCTGCCTCAGATTGCCTTTGCGCCCCAACTGAACTTCATTCCCAAGCGTTTGTTGGCTCGCTTGCAGAGTGCAGTGGCGGATGCGCTGTGGCAAGACCGACCTCGCTGGCGCTCCAAGCACCTGTTGCTGTGCATTATACACAAGGCCCATAAATTAGATCCTTTCTTGTGCCGAGCAGTGACAACGATTGTGGAGTCTGTTCGTTTCTTGCAACAATCTCCCTCTGCCCGCCAACAATGGCAACAGCTTTTTGATCAAGATCAGCTTACTGCACAAGCGTGGATGACTCAGTTCGCTCAAGCTTGTTCCGTCCTTGATATTGAGTGGGTTCATACCTTTGAGTTCTCTGTGTTTGGATCAGCCCCAGTACACTTCCTTGACTTTTCGGTGAAGGACTTGAAACGCGTGCTCAAGAGCTTAGCTGCCAACAAGTGTTATCAGACAGCGTGTTTGATGCCGCGCAAGGGCATCTATACTGCTTCTGGGTTCTTGGACCTTGCCTTGACGCTCTCAGCCAAGAAAAAACTGGCGAGTGTGCCTAATGATGGCTTCTCTTTTCTTTTTCATTGGGAGAGTGCCTTAGTTGGCTGCACACTTACAGCGGACCGCTTGGCAGCAGCTGGTTTAGTTGATCGGCCTCACTGCAGGTTTTGTGATGCGCCCAAGGAATCCATACAGCACTTTGTTGACGAGTGTGATCACCTTCCAGCAGATTTGCGACAGCCGTCAACTGCCTTTTCCATGGGGCCCAATTTCCCCATGCTTGGCATTGTTGAGCTCCCGCTTGAGACTATCCGGAAGAAACTTGTCTGCTCCAGCCCGTCACATGTACAGGTGGCTCAATGGATGGGTCCTCTTTCTTCAGTTGGCCATGTCTGGACTGACGGTTCGGTGCAGCTCACGAATTATCCTTGGCTTGCGTTAGCCGCCTTCGCAGTGGTTGGGCCAGACCAATCTGTGCTTGCTGCAGGAAGTGTCCATCACTGGAGACTATAGAGTTATTCTGCTGAATTGTGGGCAATATTAGTAGCCTTTGCCATGGCTCCGCAACCACTGGTCATCCATACAGATTCCCTCACTATTGTTCAGCAGTTCTCGTCGCTTCTTGGTGATGGTGTGGTTCAGTTGGAATGGACGCATGCAAATTGGTGGAACTTTCTTTACAACTTGCTGGTCCAGAGGAGGATTTTCCATGACTCCCCCCTCCAACTGATCTGGTGCCCTGCGCATCTATTGGAGCACATTCCTAGCTCCATGGTCACGGAAGAGGAAGCGGTGAGAGTTGGCTCTTCGCGGCAAGATATTGTTCTCAACCGGCTTGCCGACACTGTTGCCAAAAACCGCATTCAGAAGGCTGCTCGTGACATCAAGGCTGATATTGTCATGAAAGAAGCAGATGTTTTTGCGCGGCAGTTATGGCTCTCCAAATGCAACCGCTTCTGTAAAAAACCGGCTGTTAACACTTCATGCCCTGGGGAGACAGTTGATCAAGCTCCTGTACCTTTCACTGCTCGCGAGATGTGCCCTAGATGGCCTTGGGATGTATCATCTTCACTCTATACTTGGCACAGCCAAGTTGATCTGGATGTTTCCTTTCGTGCAACTCCTTCATTGAGCGAAGCAAATTTCCGGACTTTCCTTCGTTTCTGTAGCTCGATCAAATGGAGAGTGGGTGATGGGTATGCCTGCTCTGTTTTTGAGTTGGCCGTCCTGGCTTTCATCGAGGGATGGAGATTCCAACACCAGGTTGGAACCTTGTGTACACCACAAGCATATGCGACCCTGATTCGTGCAGGGTTGGCCTTTTGCAAACTCAAGCAGATTGTGGTGGCTCCCTTGTTGCTGGAGAAAGGCAATAAAAGCAACGGGAAGACCTTTCCCAAAGGTGTGTTCGTGGGCGCCGAAGCCTTTTTGCCAAACCCTGCCCTCGAGATGCTGGCCAGAGCTTTCTCTAAGGGTGCTAAGCAATCTCCTTCGACTTGGAACATGCCGTTCGACTCGCTCTTGTAGCGACCTGGTTGTCTTACTTGTGACCTTCTTGCAGAATGCAGGGAGGTTGCCACAGACCCTGAAGTCTTGGCCGGAGAGCAAAAAAAAGGAAGCTCCCCACCGCCCTCAGAAAGCCTGAGCTTTCCGGCATCCCAGTTGCTAGTAGCTTCCAAACTGCTAGTAGTTTCCTAGCTACTAGTAGCGTGCTTGAGCCTACACTAGTCACTAGCTTACTCCTCAGTCCCTGCCAACCCCGACCCCCACCCTCTGTGGGCCAATAAGAGAGCTTTAAACGTTATTAGTTCATTCATCACCATGCTATTCTTTCCCATCGATCCTTGACGCGCCTAGGATTTCTCCAGACCTTCGAATGATTGACAAGGACTTGAGCTGGTTCTTGGGCGGCCTGTCTTCCTGAGCTAAGGTTTTGGATTTCACGAGGGGATAGAAATTGACTGTAGCTGCATATTGGCTGAATATGTTTTTGGTGTGCCAGCGAAACAGCCCCTAAAGATCCGAAATTTGATGCGCGCAAGTCTACAGTAACTCGCCGGCAAATAGAACTGTATGATTTAAATTTAGGCTCCAAAATTTGGGATGTAAGCCACCCGGTTGGCAGACCTCCAGTTAGAATATATATGCATATTCTATCTGCACGGCTTTCTCAGATTCTGTGCACAGTATGCAGGTGGTTGAAAGTTTTGCAACGTTGGGTGGCGTGATGTTGGATTTGATCGCTGATTAGCTATCTGGAAGTGAACGCAGCCAGTGAAAAGAAAAGAAAGACAGGTAGGAAAAAGAGACAGAGACAGGGACAGAGACAGAGAGGGAAAAAGTCAGACCATCGCAGCTGTTCTTGAGGTGTTTCAAGCTGTTCTTTTGTTGTCTTCACAGGCCTCCCCGATTTAAATTTCATCACAACTTGAGATATTCTACCTGCATCAAGAAACATGTTCTAACTTCCGGTGCGTTTCAGTACTTGGAGCTACGTCCTACGTGGCACCGAAATGAAGGGCATCTGGCATGGAGAAGTCTTACCAACCGTACAAGGCAAGTTCTAGAAAGGACAATGAGAACTCTGTTGTCCCCCATCCCTCTGGCCAATTCCACCAGCAAGCAGCTGACACTGCCATGTTGTCGGAACGAAATGGACCATCCTGGCAGGCAAGGAATTGGGTCAATCTCTGGAGGCAACACCAAACAAGCTGGATGATGACTTCATTGAGATTGAATTGAATGACAAGTCCTGGATATGCCACTGGCTGTCAAATTCGGCGAAGATTCCTGACCAGAAAATGAGGCCGCAGAGAAGAGTTTGCAAGTCCAGCCCTCAACGAATTGCAAAGCCAAGGCGCCATAGAGTATCGGATCCTTGTACACCTGCAAGGGGGGTGCACACACGAAAATTGGTGTCGCCGCGATATGCACACGCTTCTCAAGGGTCTATCAGGCTCTTCGGGGCTCCTCAATGCTTCCGTCCCAGCTCTCGTTGAAAGCATGCAGCGAGCGCAGGGAGCCCCACACCGACCTACAGCAATCTGGTGGTTAATGCACGAGATGCCTCTGTCTCTGTCTCTCTCGGGCTTAGCAGTCGCGCTGTTCGTGCTTGCTAAGGAGTGAGACAGTTTAAAAAAAAAAAAAAAACACACACACACACACACATGCCACTCCGTTCACAACGTGTCCCAAAACGTTCGGCACACTTGACTTGCGGACGCCACTAGGCTGTGTCATGTAAATGGAATAGAAATCATAGCAAACAAGCATACAGCATACAGCAATTATGTTGTCAAAAGGTTTTAACAGCTGCAAAAAACAAAAGGACCAGGTCTGCCAAGAGACTCCAAAGCGCGATCAGCTGGGATCTGAATGGAATCAGTGAGGCTCTTCCCCACAAGGCCTAAGGAGGCATCATGTAGCCGAATGTAGCCCAAGCAAGACTGGTTTGCGCAAGCCAATACGGGAACATGACAAAGGTCCATTGCTCCGTTGACTGTCAAGGAAAAACACGGCCCAGGTGCTAAGCACTTCTTTTAAGTTGTCGGAAGTGAAGTTCTCTCGCACTATCTTGTCAATTGCTGCACTTCGATATGACAGCGCATCCTTGCTTGCGATGCCGAGCAGGAGAATGAACCCACCAACGCCAAACCAAAGAAAACTAAAACACATGAAACAAGCGAGCTTCGTTGGCAGCATCGGCGACAGCACTTTTCATGAAGCCCGTATAGATCTCTAGAACCTGTCAAGACATGGCAAGGTCGTCTTCCACGGGTTGGTTGTGGATATGGCGGGCAAAAGGACGCAACTAGTTTATACTTAAAAATAAACTTTGAGGGCAAGAACAATTTCTTGTTTGAAGAAACTTTTGCATCATCGAAACCACTCCGAGTCCGCTGGCAATAATTTAAGGGCTTTGGTAAGATTGGAAAGTTGCTAAGTCTCTCCCCTTCAGTTGTGTCCACTGCCTGTCCTGCCCCTGGTGGTTTGAGACTCTTGTTGGGCACGCGAGTGCGCTAGGCACGTTGCAAAAATCTACCAACCCAGGTGGCCAAAGGAATCAACTGTACCTGGTAGCCCGGCCGGTCTGGCGTTCCTCTCTTGCTTCTCGGCTGGATGTTTTGCAGACTTTGGCCAAGTTGCAAAGTGCATGCTAGCACACGTGAGTAAGGCGAATAACGTCACCATGCTCAGAATGCCCCGCCGCAAAGAGACTGTTTTACCCGCATTCTCTGGATCCTCGCGATGCTCTGCTCAGTTTAGGATCACGGAGTACGATCACTAGATCAAACAACAAGCATTCACATGGCGTATCAATGCTTAATATGTTTTTTACATGTTTGGTCCCTGAAACAAGTCTGTGAATAAACAAGCACCCTCTACCGGAAACACCTATGGACAGCGATTGCCAATACGCAAGAGAAAAGAAAAAAGGCTATATACAGCAGTTCCTCGTATTTCCTCGTGTGCTGCATAAGCTTGGAAGATGTTTTCGTTTTGCCCCGGGTTGCTCTACAAACTATCTCTGCCCCACCGTGTCCCAGGTTCTTACTTTCTTTCGCCCCTAGAGAGTTGCAATCAAAGTACATTAAAGACTTGAGAAGAGGCCTTGCTTACTTTCTGAATTAATGACTGCGACTTTGCCTAACTAACACTCTGCGGGCCACTGCCTTCGCTCGGAATCTTTTCTGGAACAGTCGTATGCAGTTGTTGAACTTGGCCCTGGGGTGACTCGCGCGGCGACCACCTTCAAAGGACAAAGCCCCAGAGATGTGCAATGAAATATATTTGTCACTGATGGAGCCTTGTCCAACCGATATCCATTCGGGCCGTCCGCCGTCATTCTTTGGAAACACTGGAGCGAGAGCGGGCTGGCCAAAACCCCTCAAATGGCATGCCTCTGGGTGGGAGGAGCTTGTTGAGACCAGTCAGGACTCATCTGAACAATCTGTTGCAACGCTTCCACTGCGGTAGGTCCCGGTAGGTACTACCGTTTGTGCGCTCTCGAGAAGGAAAGAGCCTTTAGCGCGGCACCAGTCAAGATTAGCCTTGGTAGCCTCATACCCCTGGATGACTGTGAGAAGAGCAGCAGGGCCAATTGCGTAGCATGCATCAAGCGCTCTCCATGCTGATCAAGCCTCTTGACATTCTTCGACTGCCTTCTTTCTTCCCGTTCCACGGCGACCCTTGCTACGTCAATCTCCCATATAGTGGGCGCGAATACAAAACGAGACCACGAAAACAAGGACGATAACTTTGAGCACTATCGAGGCGGCGCAGGATACGCAAGGCCGATTGAGTTCACAAAGCAAGCTCGATACGGCAATCACGCAAGTGACATTGCAGGTGATGATCAGCGGCCAGATCAACACCCCCGAGTTCAAGAGCTATCAAAAAGTGGAGGGTCTCAGGGAGAACATGGGAGAACCAAGCCCTACCGTCCGATTATGGACATGCGAATGGTTGCACCACTGCGGGGACGAAGTGCCACCCGCGGGCCCTTTGTGGAGGCTTGGCCCAATTGTTGCGCAGCCGCTTCCGGCAGCACAGGTCTACTTCAAGAGGGCTGCCGACTTCACAACGTGCCTGGATCCATGCCGCACTGGACATGCCCAAAGGCGAGGCAGATTGGCGGCGCATGAAGGTGACCCTAGGTGAGGGTAAAGGCTAAAGGATTCAAAAATGAAAATCACGATGGCATAACAAAGTTGAAACAGCCAGCTGGTGAAATGCAGCCAGTCAACTCTGCAGTCTGTGTTCAGGAATTGGTCCAGTAGCTCTGCAGCATGTTTCAGGAATGCAGGATGAAGCGAATTCTGGATAAAGCAAAAGCTGGTCAAGAAATACTGGTTGGCTGAAGGTTCTCAAGGGTATTAAATACTTTCCAAGGGAAAAGAAATGCTGCAAAACAGTGCCCCGTCAGGGTTTCATACAACATACCACAGTGGGACAATGCTGCGACACACACGTGCGAAAGAGCGTGAACCAAGGTGGTCCCCAGAGTGCATTAACACTTTACGATCTATATAATATATAGTTGGTGCAAGAACGACCTCTAAAACCTGCAACAGCCCTGAGCAAACTGAAAGGCGAAGGGCGAAGGGGTCAGAAAACAGTATTGTTTATATAAGCCACAAGAATTCAGCAAGTACACAGTCAGACGTCCCTGACTGCTTCCCGTGACACCACTAGCTTCGTTAGCCAACGTCGTGATGCCATGCACTTGCGAGCGCCGAATGATACATGCAATGTTCCGCGAAGAAGGAACGCGGAGGTGAAAGAGAAAGTGCAAGGATTGCCCTGGGGACGAGGTGTGGCACGCGCACACACACTTATGGATATGCGTACGGAACTGAATGCCACTCGCCACACGGCGACCTAGGTAATCATATCCTGGAAAGTCGAAAAACATGAAAGCTGAAAGTCGACCAGCGGGTTCCGAGTCGCCAAGTGCACGTCTGCAGACCTGTATCATCCTGCAACAGCCTGGAACCTCTACGAGTGGAAGATTGTTATAACGCTCACAACAATAGCAGGTACACGGAAGTGATCAGCTTCCGCTTCCTAGTACATTGCAAAGAGCTTCGTTGGGCAGTTTTGCAAGTTCTCTGTTGCCCTGCTGAAAAACAATTTCGAGTGAATCCCTGTGACTCCAAGGGTTACACACTCTGACATTGGTTTTCAGTTAACTCAATTCCCAAGTGGGAAAAAGGCGATGGAACCGCAAGGTGAAGTGTCCAGGCATTTGAAGGTGTTTGAACAAAATGTTTTCAAGAAGCTCGCAAACACTCTCGCGGAAAGCGGTGGTGACTGATCAGCATCTGCAGAATCTCAACGGCAGCTCACGAGCGGCTGAAAGTGGCGGAGGGAAACCTGTTTTTGGGAAGGTAGCATGAAAACCACCATGGAAACAATGAAAAGCGGCGAGGGAACCCAGTGGAGTCAGTATGTTCAAAGCAGGTACAGGAAGGTGATCAGCCTTCCCTTCCCATCCATGACCGCAGCTTCGTTGCGCACGGTAGGTCATGGACGCCGTGTGCCCCTGTTTGAGGGTGAAAAGCCAAAAAGGAAGGGGAGGACCCTCAGAGACAGGGTTTGACACACACTCATAGATATGCGTACTGACTTGACAGCGGTGCCACACGCCGGCCTAGGGTTCCATTTCCTCAGAGTACCAGTAGGAAACCATCGAATCCTGGAGGTCTTAAAAGGAAAGGTGGCTCAAGCGCAAGATCGAGGTCGGCGGGCAGGTCGACATGACGACG